GTATTAATCAAAATGGGTGAGATATCCGTAAATATTCGTAAATATCCGCAAATATCTATTTATTTTCCGGATATCCGTTTTTCCGGATATCCGTATTTTTTCGAAGCAAAGCAAATACCAAAATTAGATATCCGTAACATTCGAATCAAATCACAAATACCTTAAAAAACCCGGATATCCGATCCGTGCCCACCCCTATTATAGATAGATCTTATTACGTATTTACCGTCTTTTTTGGCTTCTTTCGAAACAAATATAGTTATTGGAGGCAGCCTTCCTATCAATTTGACCCAGTGATATCAATTATATATTAACATTAATATTTTTTTAACACCTTTAATTCAGATATATGATACGTACGTTCCACAACTCATATATATATATATGCTATATACTTCCCAATCTTATAACCACTTAATAACGAAATCTAAAACAGAAAACCGTTAAAAAAAAAAGAGATTGAAAATGGAGTTTCAAACTAGCTTCTTTTCTGAAAACCAAAGTCAAGACTCTTCTTCAACAACATCATGGAGCTCTCAAGAATCATTCTTGTGGGAAGATAGTTTCTTACATCAATCATTTAGCCCTTCCTACTACTTTGATGACTTCTCCACATTTGAATCATCAATCACCAAAGAAGAAGAAGATGCCACCGTAGCGGCCAAGCAGGAGGAGGAGGAAGAGAGATCACACAGAGGAGTGAGGAAGAGACCGTGGGGGAAATACGCAGCAGAGATAAGAGACTCAACGAGGAAAGGGATAAGAGTATGGCTCGGTACGTTCGACACTGCGGAAGAGGCGGCTCTCGCTTATGATCAGGCTGCTTTCGCTTTAAAAGGCGACCTTGCCGTACTCAACTTCCCCGTAGACGTTGTTAAGGAGTCTCTCTGGAACATGGAGAATGTGAATTTTAACGATGGTGAGTCTCCGGTGATAGCTTTGAAGAGAAAACACTCCTTGCGAAACCGGCCTAGAGGAAAGAAGAAGAAGTCTTCTCCATCTTCTTCTTCCTCCTTGTCGTCGACGTCTTCTTGTTCCTCACACTCTTCTTCATCGTCTTCTTTGTCATCAAGAAGTAGAAAACAGAGTGTTGTTACGAAGCAAGAAAGCAATACAGAGGTTGTGGTTTTTGAGGATTTGGGTGCTGACTACTTAGAAGAGCTTATGAGATTATGTTCATGATCATCACTACTTCCATAATTTCATGAAATTTGAGTGAGCTCTGTTCTTTTAATATTGTTTATTGTTATCCAATGAAAACTTTTTGGAAGAGATGTGGTGGCGATGTTGGAAGTGTATTGACAGTATGTAAATTACTCTATCTTAATGCTTGTATTTTCTTAATATTTTTCACGAGTTTAAAGTTATGTGTATATATTATCTAATATACTATATTAGCTGATATACAAGAATTTTTGTAATTAATTGGTTGATTTTTTTTTTAACAAAAATTGTGATAAATACTACAATTTGAAGAAATATGCATGATTAGTTAGCAAAATCATCACTTAAGACTTCACTAGAATAATGTGTTATAATTATTTAAATATAATTTTTTTTATTTAGTCAAATTAAAAATTTGAAACTTAAAAAAATGCGCATGAAATATAATATGAAGAATGTACGTATTTATCTAAATGGGAACTACATATAGAATTTTATGAGGCGCTTACTTTATTGTTTTATTGCAAAGCTACATAATGCACTGACATAATATGAATATTAAAGAGGTTTAAAACCTTAGATGTTTCCATTTCTCTAGAAAATAGAGTTTTAATAGGGGTTAGTCTACTTAATAAATGGTATATGAAGTTTAAATAAAGTACTTAATAAAAAATTAGAAATGATGCCCATCTACCATGAAAATACGTTTACCATACATATAAGTAAGTTTATAGTGTGATTAGTTATTTGTAAATAACACTAAAGAGATTAAATATTATAGATAGCATTTATCAGAAAATTCAGTATTTTCGTAGGGGTTAGCCTACATATTTCAAGAAAAAAAGAAAAAACGAAAATTTTGTTTTATTGCATAGATACATCATGCACTGACATAGTATGAATATTAAAGAGGTTTAAGACCTTAGATGTTTTCAATAAAACAAAAATTTCATTTTTTCTTATTTTTCTTGAAATATGTGGGCTAACCCCTACGGAAATACTGAATTTTCTGATAAATGATATTAAGAGATTAAATATTAGTTATTCATACTATGTCAGTGCATGAGATTAAATATTAGTTATTCTTTAACCTCTCTTTAGTGTTATATGTATGGTAAACGTATTTTCATGGTAGATGGACATCAATTCTAATTTTCAATAAGTAATTTACTGATACTTCATATAACAAATAATAAGTGGAATAACCCCTATATAATCTCTATTTTATAAAGAAATGGAAACATGCAAGGTCTTAAACCTCTTTAATATTCATACTATGTTAGTGCATGATGTAGCTATGAAATAAAACAAAATTTTCCTATTTTCTTATTTTTCTTGAAATATGTGGGCTTAACTACGAAAATACCGAATTTTCTGATAAATGCTATTTGTAATCTTTAATCTCTTTAGTTTTATTTACAATTAACTAATCACACCAAAACATATTTATATGTACGGTAAACTTATTTTCATGGTAGATGGGCATCATTTCTAATTTTTTATAAAGTGATTTATTTAAACTTCATATACCATCTATTAAGTAAACTAACACATATAAAAAACTCTCTTTTCTAGAGAAAAGAAAACATCTAAGGTCTTAAACCTTTTTAATATTCAAACTATGCCAGTGCATGATGTACCTACGAAAATACTGAATTTTCTGATATATGCGATCTATAATATTTAATCTCTTTAGTGCTATTTACAATTAACTAATCACACCAAAACATATTTATATGTACGGTAAACTTTTTTTCATGGTAGATGGGCATCATTTCTAATTTTTTATTAAGTAATTTACTTAAACTTCATATAACACCTAATAAGTGGAATAACCCCTATAAAATCTCTATTTTCTAAAGAAATGGAAACATCTAAGGTCTTAAACCTCTTTAATATTCATACTATGCCAGTGCATGATGTAGCTATGCAATAAAATAAAATTTTCATATTTTTTATTTTTCTTGAAATATGTGGGCTAACCCCTACGAAAATACTTAATTTTCTGATAAATGCTATTTGTAGTATTTAATCTCTTTAGTTTCATTTACAATTAACTAATCACACAAAAACGTTTTTATATGTATGGTAAACTTATTTTCATGGTAGATGGACATCATTTCTAATTTTTATTAAGTAATTTATTTAAACTTCATATATCATCTATTAAGTAGACTAATGATAAAGCATGTTTTTAATATTATTTAGCATCTTATTTACTTCTTTTAATCACTTTAGATTGCATTTAGTGGTCTACATTTGCATATATATGTTCATTTGTGTGCATTAGGGTTTGGAGTGCACAATTGGAATGTTTGGAGTCAATTAGAAAGGATATTTTGCAAATGAGAAACCTTTGGGGCAGAAAAAAAGTTACCAAGAATTTAGGGACCAAAGCTGCAATTTCTCTATATTCGGCTGGGTTAGATTGCACAATCAGAAGTTACAGATTGATTGGAGAGGACTAATCTGAAAGTTAAAAAAAGCTGTGGAGCAGAAACAAAACTCCATAAGAGATGAAGGATCAGACTTGCAAAAACGGAAAAATAGCCATTGGAGCTCACGAGAGCTTCTCTTGGCTGTAGATCGCGGCAATCCCGACGGTGACTCTTTGCGAGCACAGCCACGGTGGAGCAGAGCTTCGAGCGGCGGCGAGTTGCAGCCACAATGAGAGATGTCGGAGTGGAGCTGGAGATGGTTTGGAGCTTGCCACGAGACGGCCTGGCCAAGAAACCGCAGTGGATAGCTTCGACTTAATCTCGAGTTTGTTTCACCGCAAGGAAGCTTGGTCCGATGTAAATCGCGGCGAAGACGGAAACGCGATTCAGAGCTTGACGGAGATGGTGATGACGGGGGAGAGCTTCGTCTTGGTGGTGATGCGGCTGGAGCACGGCTGACCGAAGATACATACTGAGCTTCGCTGTGGCAGAGAGGAGAGACACCGCGGGTTGGTTGTGGCCGCGGAAACACGGCAGGAAGTCGCGGTTCGAGAGGAGCGGCCGCGAGCTCACGACGCGGACGTGACGAGGTCGCGATCAGACGTCGAGAAACTAACAGGGATATGTCGCAGGTGATGACCGCGGGAGATTGGGGTCGCGGCCTTTGTGACGTTACAAAATCATTTTGTTGACCGGTTTATTTCGGTTTGACCCGGTTTAATCTGGTCAAACCAACTCGAATTTTACTTCTCTATATATAGTTTTAGACCTCCAAAACCCAAAAGTATCTCATTATCTCTCAAGAACTTGTTTTTAATTGTAAAAGCTTGAAACTTTATATCATTTTAAGGAAGTATTTCATGTTATATCTTGTTTCTCATTCTCATTTACATGATTAGCCTTAAATCCATATGGATTTAAGGATTCTCATGGAGATTAGAGAGTAGACACTTTTAGAATTCATGGGTTAGGTAGATTTAAAGTGATTAAGTGTAGATCTAAGTGTTTCCTTGCTAGTTGAGTGTGTTTAATGTTATTCTAGACTTGATCACTCTAGGATTGAACCTTAGTCATTTTCTGCCCACAAGGTGTATGTTTAAATGTCTGAACCAACTCTCCTTAGCTTTAAGACTACCTAGCCAATGATCATTTGTAGTTAGGAGTCTTAGATAGTTATTAAACCTACTCTTAATGATTGCTTGAATTAATTGAGCAAATGACCATTTGTGTTTAATTAATGAAAGCAAATGAGCATTTGCCTAGACCTAGAATTTGCTTAGTTAAGTTGTTTAGACTTAGGGAACATTTTGATTGAAACTTTAATTGCTTTAGATCAATTGCCTAATCCCATGGATTCTACCTTATCATTTGATTGAAAGTTTTCTTGCAATTATTTCTTGATTGGATTTGAGATCACCCTTGTTTATATTTTAGGATCTTAGCTTGTTACAATCATCCACCTCTCTTATTTGCTTAGATTATGAAAGTTTGTGTACTCTTATTGCTTAGATCACTAGTTCCCTAGTTCCCTGTGGTTCGACAATCTAAAATACTATAATCGATTTGCTCTAAAGCTTAAAAACCCTTATCAACTAACCCTTATAAAAACACTATTTTCTAGATAAATGAAAACATCTAAGGTCTTAAACCTCTTAAATATTCATACTATGTAAGTGCATGATGTAGCTATGCAATAAAACAAAATTTTCAGTTTTCTTGAAATATGTGGGCTAACCCGTACGAAAATACTGAAATTTCCTGATATATGCTATCTATAATATTTAATCTCTTTAGTGTTATTTACAAATAACTAATCACACAAAAAACCTTTTTTATATGTATGGTAAAATTATTTTCATGGTAGATGGGCATCATTTCTAAATTTTTATTAAGTATTTTAATTAAACTTCATATAGCACATAATAAGTGGAATAACCCCTATAAAATCTCTATTTTCTAAAGAAATGGAAACATCTAAGGTCTTAAACCTCTTTAATATTCATACTATGTCAGTGCATGATGTAGCTATGCAATAAAACAAAATTTTCATATTTTCTTATTTTTCTTGTAATACGTGGGCTAACTAACCCCTACGAAAATACTAAATTTTCTGATAAATGTTATTTATAGTATTTAATCTCTTTAGTTTCATTTACAATTAACTAATCACACAAAAACGTATTTATATGTATGGTAAACTTATTTTCATGGTAAATGGGAATCATTTCTAATTTTTATTAAGTAATTTATTTAAACTTCATATCCCATCTTTTAAGTAGACTAACTATTATAAAACACTATTTTCTAGAGAAATCAAAATATCTAAGGTCTTAAACCTCTTTAATATTCATACTATGTCAAGGCATGATGTAGCTATGCAATAAAATAAAATTTTCATTTTTTCTTATTTTTCTTGAAATATGTGGGGTAACCCCTACGAAAATACTAAATTTCCTGATATATGCTATCTAATATTTAATCTCTTTAATGTTATTTACAAATAACTAATCACACAAAAAAAACTTTTTTATATGTATGGTAAAATTATTTTCATGGTAGATGGGCATCATTTCTAATTTT